CAAGTGTCATCCTCTGAGCGCAAAGTTATCGCCGAACATGTAAAGGACATGCTGAACGAATGTGTCGTGCAAGGGTCGTCCAGCCCGTGGGCTGCCCTGGTAAATCTTGTCAGGAAAAAGAATGCGTCCTGCAGATTCTGGGTATATTACAGGCGTCTAAACACTGTGACAAAGAAAGACGTATATCCCTTGCCGCGGATTGATGACGTCATAGATTACTTGCATGCTGCCACGTATTTTTCAACGCTTGATTTGCAATCCGGTTATTGGCAAATAACAACCCGACGACAAAGAAAAGACTGCTTTCGTAACTCCGGATGGCCTATTTAAATTTAATGTCATGCCTTTTGGCATTTGTAATGGCCCTGCCACCTTGAAGGATTTATGGACACAGTATTACTTAGTCTGAAATGGGAAATATACATGCGCTACCTTGATGTGATCTTTGGCCACACGTTTGAAGAACATAACCGTCTCAGTCATGTTCTCGACTGCATCGAAAAAGCCAGGCTGGTTCTGAATTCCAAAAAAAAAAAAAATGGCGCTTTAGCGAACGTCAAACTCTGGTGCTGAGGCACCGAGTCGACAAGGATGGCATCAGACCCCATCCTCGCAAGTTAGAAGCAGTGAGCTCTTAAACCACCGCAGTCCGCACGAGAATTTCGCTCATTTGTCGGCCTATGCTCATATATTCATATATACGATGCATATACCGTACGCGCGGTATTTAAGGTTACCGTGGTAGTGTAAGTGACGTAAACATGGCGGCGCTCTTGGACGCCCGCTTCGAAGAGATTTTGGCGTAGTTGTTGAATGGTTCAAATTGCTCGCAGCAAACTACTGTTTAAAGTGGCTTCGCTTGCCTTCAGTTAGCTTCGATGACCGAGCATTACGGATAAGTTGGCGTACTTTTTGATATAGCTTCCCATTTCGAACGTGTCAAGGCCCAACTACAAGATCGATCAAACAAATCGGGAACATAATTTTTTTTTCGCGTTTGGTGCGTGGTTGATATTTATTTGCTTTTATTATTAGTAAAATAAACTTGTAACTATGCTTGGCGCGGTTGCAGAGGCCATCCGATAGGTGGCGGCACCATCTCAGCTGAGGCACATAAACGTTATTCCGCTAAACTACAAGACACTGTCCACAACGAACGTTTGCTGCACGGGAAAGTCATTCCCTTAATCTCCGCTATCACGTTAACCATAAACCGTCTAGTAACGTCATTCCTTTAACTTCCGCCATCACGCTAACGGTAAACTATAACTAATACATATTGAGTCGCCTGCCAACGCCTCCTAGATTTCCCGCGCCGCGATTGCTTCCCGTGCCTGCCGGATGAGCACGGGAAAGCAATGGCAGCGCTGCCTACGTAGGGATAAAGGTCTTTGAGATCGGCAATTTTGGCGTTTGCTGCTAATTTCAGAGGATGCCTTGTATTGAAAAAGCTGTTTGCTAAATTACGCCGTCACTTACGTAGGGTTAAATATAATTACGTTTACGCCTTTTTAAAACTTTTACGTTATTTTTGTTGCCTATAAGTTTCGAAAACGTATAAACCTATTTGAAGACACCCTTACTTGGGTGGCGCCACCACTAAAGTTCCGACGACCGCCGCTTCCCAAGTGACCACCTATAATCCGGGAACAGGAAATCTAGGAGGCGTTGCTCCGGCATACGTATTTCGGAGGCCCGAAGGAAGCAGGTGGTTTACGTTGCGTGCATCACACACACACACACACACACAACACACACACACAGTGCAAGACGGGAGCCTGTGAGCATTGAAACCGTCACGTGAAACGACACTCGATGCCATCTCAGATAGCTCGTACTCTGATCATGGTTGACTGTTAACATTGTTCGCAGATAATACGGCAATAGCGAAAAACTGCAGACGATGTCCGAACAAACCATGCCGCCACTTGTGTAATCACAGCAACGTAGTGCACACGTTTGTCCGTGCATTTGTCCTTGTAGCTAGTTTGAGAATCGCCGGCATTTTCGTCGCCAAAGCGCGACTTTCGTCCCCGAAGCACGACATGCGACTCCACAGAGTGGAGTTGTGGTTTTGAAGTAGACCAGCCTTTTTGGGAAAATGGCATCAAGGCAATAAAATACACTTGCCCCGTTTGCTTAATCATTTTATGTGCACATGACTCCCGTGCAGGAACTGCAACGTCTTTCATGGTCAGAGTTCACTCTCTTCTCCTCTGGTTCATCTGGAAACTTGAGTACACTGTCCTCCGGCACTTTCGCTCTCATCAAAAAGTCAGTTGCCAAAAGGGCGAAGCAATGAATGCAACAGCAACCTACTCGAATGTTTAACGAAGCAAGACTAATTTTAGCCTCAATATCAATTGTAGTTAACATAGCGCTTGCTTGGTAAGCATGCTTCCTTCGGCTCGGCCATAGTAGACGACCACAACAAGGCTCGTGCGTATACGACGGCGTTGATCAGAAACTCCTCCGTGGGCAGCGCATGATGGTACTAAGGGCTATAAGTCATGTGTCGCCACTCGTGGCAGTTCGTTGTGTGTTGAGCGCATCTATATGTGGACGGCTGCTCCAGCCTGATGTGCGGAGCAAGAGCCGTGCGCTAATCGTTGCCGCGATAGCCCGGCAACCATAGGCCCTCCCCCTTGTTCGCTCACGAGATTGGCGCACACGCACGCAGACGAACCTTGCTCCGCAAAAAGAGCAGGCTAGCGCGTACGTGAATGTGCAGGCGGCGACGGCAAAAACCAGCCGAGACTGTCCACATAATTGCTGTCGGAATAAAATGCGGTCGCGATTCTTTCCCACGACCTTCGGGCCAGCGGCAGATGCTCCACCACTAGACAACAGCGGGTGCAGAGAAATATGCCCTCCTAAGCCCAACAATCTTCGCTTGGCAACTCGCGGTTGGGTTTGGCGCTGTCACGGTACGAGTTCAGGGCCAAGCACGAAGATCGCCAGTATACTCCCGCTATCCGTCATAGAACTAAGAAAAGCCATGGGCACACTGCCATCGTGGGTACAGGTAAAAACTACTTGCACAAAAACATTTATTCTGCCTTCCTGCCCAAGGTGACAGAAGACGGCCGCCGCCTCCCAAGTTACAAACAACTGTCCCGGCAATCGAGGCCAGGTGTCCGGCGACAAACTTTTTTAACACCCCGGTTGGTGACTGCTACACTCACGTCGCTGCAAAGAGAGAGACAGGCAACGATTGAGCAGCACGGACTGCACGGAACTTCGACAAGCACGCTATCGCACATACAATACAGGGCTCCACATGCAGTCCGTACAATCCGACTGGAATCGTCACGCTATTCGTTACTCGCTGCAGCAACCTTGTTTTCTATAAAGTCGAGCGGCCGCCACAGCAGCACTACAAAGCGCCAGTCGCTCCTGCGCGACCATTGAGACGTCTCGACGAGACTCCACTCGTGCACTGTCATCAGTAGCCTCTCACTCAAGGTATGTCTCGCTAAACAAAGATCTGCAAGTAGCTACCACGTCTTCAGATGTCGCCATCTGGCCTGGCCTTGCGCACACCTTAAACCGTTAACCACGCGAAGGGGTCGATGGCAGGGCACTGTTTGCGATGATCAGGAGGACAAGTGCGAGAGTACTAATGTGCAGCAAGTGCGTCAACACCTTTGGCTTATTGCGAATACTGGCAATCGTCCGAGCAAACTCACTTTCAACATGAGTACGCACAAATCACACCGCGCTTTACTTGACGTGTTAAACTCGCAGGACCTCTAAGCACGGACAGTGCAACATTGATCATGAAATGCTTAAAAAAGCCTCATGTTTTAGAAAGCCCCGCTTAAAAAAAGCCTCATGTTTTAGAAAGCCCTTCCGCAGGCACACACGTGCTGCCAACGCAACCATGTACGAGGCGCGTTGCTCTGAACTGGCAGTAAAACTGAGCCCCAGCCAAAAGCATGCTGCACTGCGCAAGGTTTGTTTGCTACTAAAGTCAATGGCCATGTGATGTCAGTCGCTGCGACAAATTATGCCCGTCCTTCAGAGAGCTCATGACATTGACGTCTACGACTGTGGCTGGTTAAAGATTGCGTGAACAAGTATCTCAGGTGGTCTTGTCAATGACTCTTGACACATACTCCACCACTTGGTTGAGTTGTGAAAATAGTTTGGGCTTTTTAGCACTGTACAATATGTGAGCAAATGAAGTCTCAAAAGGAGGTCCCACTTTTTCCGCCTGTTGACTACAAGGCTGGTAAAGTAGCGACGTCTCTAAAGCCAGGCTAAACCGAGCACTACAGCATGACTGCACAATCTCCTACACTCCTCGGCTGAAGACAACTCCATGAGCCATCCCAAGTGCGTGGCAATGGCAAGCAGTACTTTTCTAGGGCTGCAGTGCACGTCGTCACGGCAGTGGATGCAGAACGGCAGGGTACTTCTAGTTTCAAGGTAAGCAGTCGTTGCCAAGCTTGTATAAAATGGTTTTGGTACTCCTAACTATTTCAACAGTAAATTCCTGAATAGCTACTCCCTCAGAACTTCACTGCAGCCAGCCGATGGCTGTAGGGAAAGCTGGTGGTCAAGTTTCTACAAAGGACTAATTTGATTAGCCTGTTTAACATTCAACAGGCACACTTGAAACTATGGCTATGAGGAAGCACTACTTGAGACCATCGCCGCCGCTGCTGCTGCAAGTGGTCCACGCATCTGAACTCCCACAGCTGCAGGAGAAGCAGGCTCGTGTTTGGGTGTCAATTCCATTATCCATCGTCCACTACTAATCGGCCAAGGTTCCTGGCCCGACAGGCCAGACAAACCGGCGCGCATCTGAAGCCCCCTTGGGCAACAGGTGTTGATCACTTTAGAAGTCTTCAGGGAGGACGGGTATCCGATGATGTAACAGCCACACATACACTGCCCAGTGTGTCGCACGCAAGGCTTTGCACAGGAAAACACGAAACGCGCTAGCGTGTAGGGCAAAAAAAAAAAAGTACAAAAGGAAAAATCACCACCGGGGATCGAAATCAAGGGCACACGTTTCTCTTCCATCAGTTCTCAGTACACTGTATGCGCAAACAGGAGGGCAAACAAAAGGAATCGGGTGACAGCTCCAGTAAATGACAATGTTCTTTTTTTAATATAACGATGCTGCTGCGAGAAGGGAGAAGGAAGGGGCAAGGGAGGGCAAGGAGAGAAAGAGGACCAAGTTGTGGGGAGTCCTTAACACGAGAAAACGAGAATGTCAACAGGAGTGACGGCTTCGAAACAAAAGTGGTCGGCTACGGAAGATCATAAATATAGTAGTGGTGGTCGCAGGCATTCGCTGGCCCCTCCCTTACGTTTCACAGAAAAGACGCACTTCCTACATCAAGGCGGAGTAAGAAGGCCGCCGTGCATCGTTTTTTTTTTCCCTATTCTATGCAATCCCTCCCCCTGCCTTCTCTTTGTTGAACAAATAAAAAGCTCTGCATCACTAGAACGTCATCCTCCTAGAAAAAAAAAACTAACAAAAACAGTTGAAGAACAGGAAAAAAAAAAAAAGCTGTACACGAACCTGAACACTTAAAAATTATGTCCGAGACAAAGGTAGTGGCAGGAGAGAGAAATAAAGTGGTCGCTGCCGTCGCGTCGTCCAACGGGAGGCACAAATCTTTTCAAAAAGAAGTGTTAAACCCAAGTTTTTTTTTTCTCGTATCTGAGTATAGACCTGAACTTGCACACACTGCCTCGGCCCAGTGTCACTTGTGGAAAATGTCCAGCCCGGGTAAACGACTCCCTCCACTCATACAGGAAAGAAATTAACAAAGTAAAACAATGCATAAGAGAATAAAACAACGGAAGACTGGATTCTCGCTGTTAATGCTCCCTCCAAGAAACAGTCTTAACAAAGGGAGAGAGGAGAAATGCTTTTTTTTTTTGGCTACAACGTATCCGACAAATCGAAACAGCAGTGAACAAACGGCGGGTGGGTTTGTTGAGGGACGTATGGAGCAACTTCGGCCAACCTCCCTGACCAAAAACACCTAGGCACAACCGCAAGAGAACAAAAAAACATGAAGGGCAGGGTTCAACTCTGGGTGAAAGGAACAGGGGAACCAGCTGTCCGAAAGGATGCAAGTACCCTTCGCACACTGAATCCACGAACGCAACCACCGTTAAATACAGGCTGCACTTTCAAAGCAGATAAATTTTTTGAAAATGAAAGAAAAAAAATGTGGGAGCACAAAGAACATTGGACCAGTTGGCATTCCTCCCCCTCTAGACGTGGGAAGGAGAAAAGGACAGCTCAAGAAAAAAGAGGGGGGGGGGGGTACTTAGGCGGCCGCAACACTACACACAGCACGGCTCAAAAAAGTGACATCACACAACGTAGCCGCTCGACGAAGCTTGCTTTGTTTCGAGACCCTTTTGCCCCCCCTCGGGTGAGGTTTGGCAAGACAAGATTTACCGAAGAACGAGGGGTGCCTTCCACACAGTGGACACGAAACAAGACGACGAACGAAAAGAAGATAGTCAGGAGGAGGCGCAGCGGCGGCAAAGACCACGACGACCAGAGAAGGCGGCAGTAGGAAGAGAGAAAGGACGGTGAAGAGGGAGGGGAGGAGGGCGGCGGCAGCGGCGGCGACGTCGGCAGCAGCAGCATCACCGCCATCGGCCGGCTGCAGCGAGGGGCGACGGAGTCGACGTTGCTGCTGGGGCGGCCGCAGCGCGATGGGAATGCACGCGGAAGGGGCTGGGCGCACACACGAGGATCAATTGTCACCACCTTCCTGCTGCTCGTCGCCATCCCCTTGGGTGTCCGACGTCCAGAGCTGCACAGAACAATGACGACATCAGTCACCAGCCTGCCATTTGCACAAGCTGCAGTGCATGCACTAGAAATATCGTTGCAGAGATTCACTACTGACACTGCACTAAAACAGGACCCCCAATACTGCTTCTGTATGTTTTTCATTTACCAGACCTTTCATACAGTATAATCACAAAGAAACTATCTAGCAGAGATAATGAGACTTGGGCCAATTTTGGCTTTCGTCATCCAAGATGTGCAACCGAACTATAACTATGCAAGCATGACATTGAAAAAAAAGAACTGCTTGTCGCAGTAGCCAAGTTAATGGTCATATGAGCAAGCAAAGTTCGAATGTTAAATTGTGCATTCAAAAGAACCCAAAGTTAATTGAGGTCATACTACTGTGTTTTAGGACAGGCAAATCCTGCTACAACGCCACTGACAAGACACGCGAAAAAGTATCAAAATACTCAATATAAAGAGGTTTCTACCAGAAATGTGTAAAAAAAAAAACGCAAACCTGCATTTGCTCACCATCTTCCCCACTGCTTGTTCTGCAGTGGCTTGCACCTCAAGATGGTCGAAGACATAATTTAGGACATTCGTTGGAAAAGTTCATTGAATCAACTTTTAATTAGTACAGTTACGCAGTCTCATGCTAAAAGCCCATTGCAGCTTTTAGATATAGAAAAGGCAGTCCATTATTGTGGCATTATGAAAGCAAGGCAAATTCAATAGAGAAACCGAAAACAAAGCACGAATGAGCACAATAGGCAGACAATTACAATGGACATCACTCCCGTTTTTTAACATATGTGCCACACACCCAGAACCTCGCTAATTAAAAATAGGTTCTATTTTCTTAGTTACTGTCCCAAATTATATGTATTCATCGAAGATGCCTGCCTTTACTAAAGAAAAAGCAATTGTTAAGATGGTGAGCAAATACCGCATTTACCACCAATTTTCTTCAGAACATTGGTCACATTTCCCGACACAGCCTATACATGACATTCTCACTTGTCACATCAGTCCCAGCAGACACAGTATCTTGAATTTAGCTCTGTAACTGACACCACATCTCACACCAAATGACCTATTTTCTCGCACAGAACAAAATTTACGCAGACTTGGGACTAAACTCTGGTTGCGAGTTCAACGTGAATTTTAATGTGCAGGTTCATAATGGAGAGAGGGGGGGGGGGGTATACACATGGGTGATCGAGAAAATACAATATTCAAACTACCCTCAGAGTGTGCGAGGCATCTAACACCGCTAACGAGCATGCAAAAAGCTCCAATATCATCAGCCTCACTGGAGGGCAAAGGCCTCTCCCATGAATCAGCCCGGTCGTGTGCTTTGTGCTGCCACATTGTACCTGCGAACTTTCAACTTCATTGGCCCACCTAACTTTCCGTTTCCCTCTTGCGAGATAGCCTTTTCTCGGAATCCAGTCACCCTTATTAACCAGTGGTTATCTTACCGATGTGCTACATGCTCGGCTCACGTTCATTTCTTCCTCGATTTCAACTGTGATATTCTTAACACTGGTTTGTTGCCTAACCAACTCTGCTCTCGTCTCTTAAGGTTACACCAATCAATTTACTTAGCATTGCTCTCTGCAGAGTCCTCAATTTAGGATGAAGCCTCTTTCAGTGATGGAAGCTGCATTTTGCTTTTTGGAGCAGATTCTGGAGCAGATAAAATGGTGCTTTGGAGCAGGCTTAAGTGTCTTCAGAGCAGAAAAAAAAATGCTATAGCTTAAGTTTGCTATTGTTTTCAAAGCAGATGCATGTTACTAACGACTCTTGATGTCTGAAACATCACTGAAGCATCTAATAAATATTTATTATTATTAAACATTCCACATGCTAGTATGCAGCTAGTATACAAGCCGTATAGTAGCATCATTGGCGTAAATCATGGGGTGGTCAAGAGAGTACGGACTTGTGTTCAGGCTGGGGAAGACAGCCCTTGCAAGTGTACCCCTTGAAATTTAGCTTTAGCACGTGATATAAATAACAGCTTAGTATAGTGCAATCAACTTTTTTAGGCTTTTGTCTGCTACTGCATACCTGTGTGAAAGGCCACTTAGCTGTGTGAACTATGGAAATAGCAAAAAGGTGGAAACAAAAAGACCGAATAGAACAATGGAATTGCTCAAGCTTCTAACTCATGCTTGTTTTTTTTTTTTTAATTCTATTTTAAGGGAGATGCAGGTCGAAAAACCGCGATTTTTTTCGAAAAAGTCGATTTTGTGTTTTCTTGCATTTTGTATTCCTCCAAGCCTTCTCCTTAATGTATTAAATAATCTAGGCTGAGAATCGGCTAGAAGTTATCGAAAAATACAATTAAAGCACTCGCGGTGGCTCGTGATAGTGCGAAGTTACCCGATTTTCACGCACGCGGAGGCATCGCCGGCTCTTGAAATTTCGCGGGCATGTAGGCCTAACCCTCTTCTCCCAGAGCCCACTTCGGCAAAGCAGCATTCATGCTAAAAATACAACGAAAAAATCGTTTCCACACAGCATTCTAGCGTGGTGACTGGGCCTTGGAAGTCACGTGGTATGATCAGAGCCCTGCCATTGGGTGCGAGCATTCCACCGTGCAGTCGGATGCGAGCGCTTTCTTCCTTCTGCTTTCACCGAGACATTGACGAACACAACCGCCGAGTTATTTCCGCGCCATGAATGCCGGCGAAAAACGCTACTTTCGTTCACGGAAGTTCATTAGGCGGCACCAGTCTGAGGGAAGGCACCCCAAACGCAAGCAGTGAGCGCCGGAGAGAGGTCCGTCTGCTGCTAGGCCTAGCCGCGGCAGCAGCGACACACCAGATTTGGATTGTTCAAGCTTTATTCCTACCGTCAATGACTTCGTCAGCGCTTCAGAGTGAGAGATAAAGATGCTCGATGACTAAAGCAAGTGTCAGGACGAACGTAGAAGCACATTTATTTGCGAGACCCATGCGATGTAGAACCTCGTCAGTGGCGTAGTATGCTCCAACTGCGGGCGGTGCGAGCTGTCTGAGTAATGTCAAGTAGACGATAAGGACTGGCATCGCTTTCGGAACTTTAGCGACGAAATGACGTGTTTGCTGCAACTGTTGTTTTGTCCACGTATGCGTCAAGTCGCGTGTATCCGTCATGCAGTGGAAGCGAGGAGACGTCCGCCAGCGGCAGTGCACGGGACAGCTTCGCTGTGAGCATGAAGTCTGTGGTCGCACCGCGTGCGATTGGCGTCGGACACGAGCAGCTTGTGCGGGTTTTGTGCAATCATTGGTGTTAAAAAACCGGTGCGTCACAAGAACTGCCATTCGCAAAAAAAAAGTGCATACCACCGCCGAAACATCGAATGAGCCCGAGAGCAACGGCCCATCGCCGCAGTAGCGAAAAAAAAAAAAAAAATGCCCGTCGGGAGGAGACAGCTTGTAAAGACTGTAAGGGTCCAATATATAGTGCTGGATTATTCTGAAACTCAACTTTTTCAAGATAGCTTTGCTGACATTCTCTGAATTTCATTCAAATCGGTTGAAGAGTATAGCATTAAACATGTTTTTGAACTTTGAAACCGCTTTTTCTCAGTTCCTCATTTTTCGGCGTCTTTAGAGCTTGTGCACTATAATTTGTACGCTTCACAAAGTTGGTTGCAATAAAACTTCAAATTCAATAATACTTCAAATAAAAACTTCCAATTCAAATAAACAACTTTCAGAGGTCTCGAAAGCATATTCAGCTGGATAATTTCAGAAGCTTGTTCCTTGAGTATGGTAAAACTCAAATTCAGCATTAGAGTTTTTTTCTAGACAGCATTTACCACCAAAAGAAGGATTTTTCTTTTTGGTGTGCAAAGTTCAGTGTATTTATGAAAGATAATAAATCTGATGAAGTTTACCTTTCAAACTTGTTTTTCTCAAAACACAAACTTTATTTTTTCAGTGTGCCCCTCCTTTTTGAGCACTTCTAGTGCACAGATCTGCACAAAATTTTGCCCAATTTTTTTCCAAAGAGTTACAAATATAATTATCTAGTTTAAATGTCAATATTTTATAGTATAATAAAAATTGTATGTAAACCTTTACTAGGGTAGGTATTATTTTTCAAGCTTATCAGATATTTTGTATGTGCTTCCTAATTAGTTATTTGCATTTTACACTATTTGAAACATTACGAACTATGAATAGTAAGAATTATGGTATGGTAAAATTGTTGATTGAATGAGTTGAAGAGTTGAGCCTCACTCTTCAAATAGGTTTCCCTCGCTCATGAAGCACAAGAAAAAAAAAAAGCAAAAGGGGAGCATAAGGGTTAAGGTTTTCACCTTGCCATGTTGCAGAGCTAAAAAGTATGCAACTAGCAAGAAAACTAATTAAATATTCGAAATCAACATAAAAAGTTCCATACACAGCTCAAGTTTCATTGCTCTAGAGTGAATATTAAAAAAATAAAGTGTCTTCGAGTAGTATCTCCCTTTAAACACGTGGTTTACACCCAAGCCAAGCAGTCACACTTTCAACACTTTGTTGAGTGGCAGGAAAAAAGTGTGGAAGGCCTACCGTATGCCATCCTGACCACACACACACTCGCCAACAGCAAGCAAGACACGCATGCACGACATGGAAGCCAGCCCGCGTGGAACTGCTTTGGGACTGTTTCTAGTCCTAAAAGGAAACCTCTGAATTCGAGCTAGTGTGGCTGGAGTCTCAGAGCAGGTGGAGACGGGCGAAGGTGTTGCGGGAAGGAGACCTTGAAAGTAAGAACAAGCGAGAAGGCCTTGCAAGGTCTCCGAAACGCACAACTCCATTAATATGTGGGGTTCAACGTTCCAAAACCACCATGTAGTTATGAGAGATGCCAAAGTGGAGGGCTCCGAAAATTTCGACCACCTGGGGTTCTCTAACGTGCACCCAAATCTGAGCACACGGGCCTACAATATTTCTGCCTCCATCGGAAATGCAGCCGCCGCAGCCGGGATCCGATCCTGCGACCTGCAGGTCAGACGCCGAGTACCTTAACCACTAGACCACTGCGGCGGGGCCGAAACGCACATAGGAAAACTTGAGAGAGCAGTCGGCGCGAGGTCCAAGAATTTCATTTTGGCACCTTATCATTGTAGTGCCTCGTAAGGAGCACAGGAATGTCAATTTTACAAAGAATCGCAGCGTTGAAGTAGCACTGCCACATTGGGCACTGTTGATGTCATAGTAACCTCTATGTGCAAGTTTACGAGTAACGCTAAAAATAGAATATCCGAGATGATTACAAGTCTTTTAGTGTCCTACCGAACTTTACACGTTGACACAGCCTCATTTTGTGTTCTTAGAACCCCAATGCTTTAATGTTTTTTTTGTGGCGCAACTGTTTCCCTTTGTCCTTAGATTACCCATGTTGAAACCTATCATAACCAAATTAGTAAGACCCGTTCCAATAAATACGTATGCTTATTAGGACCAGAGGAGTCCTGCATGTTCTGGACTACTGAAGGTCCAATCAGCGAGCTTTCACTGTAACATACGAGTAACAGTGGCACACAAGAAAGCTACCCACAGAGCAATGGGTAACTCACCGTGAGGTTGTCTCGGAGGAGCTGCATTATGAGCGTGCTATCCTTGTAGCTATCCTCATTTAACGTGTCCAACTCCGCGATGGCGTCGTCGAATGCCTGCAGAAAAAATTTTGCACTTGTTCAGGTTCCATTAAGTGAACGTACACACATCTCTAGGCTCACAAATGAGTACACTTTTCACAGTTGATATGTGAAGCTGCAGTTCAACACCAGGAAAATATTGTGCATAATGTGTTTCGGAAGGTGCACCATAAGGAATGAACCTCTAAGCATTCTTAGAAGCAATAATAAAAAAAAAAAACACTAGGGAGCTTGCAAACAATGTTTCTTCCTGAGTATATTATTGAACAAGGTGAATACAAAAATAAGAGAATGTGCTCACGGAAGATGAAGCTACGTTTGTCTCCAAAGTTTTGAATTCCAAGCAGGTGACCAAGACAAAAAAAATGTTTCAGAGTGGATCTTTAGAGGAATAAGGGAAGTCTCCCATAATGGTGGCCGATAAGGAGAGACCTGCAATCTAGTTTGCGATATTTTCATACAGACAACGCCCTTAAAGATGGCTCGAAAATGGATGATATTTCTTGAATAGTTTATTTCATTGCTACTTTTTTCAAGACAGTGTTCACATGGGGTGCTTCACAAAAGAAGCTTAAAATTAATGTGTGCAGGTCCCGAACATACTTAACAGTGTTTTAAACAAATATATTGGACAGACATTTCAGCAGGCAGGGCTACTAAAGAAAGTTCTGTACCCACATGCAAGAGCCCTGCTATATCTCCAACAACTTAAGTATAGCCAGGTATTTGGCAAACCATGTGTAGTGTAGCATGCCAAAATTTACGAATTGCATTTGTCACACTCGCATTCTGGTCATTTAATGCTAACACTCAACCTGTTAACAGAACCTTGACTAAAACATGCATGTGCAATGAACCCGGAATGAAGTATACCAGTAGAAACACCAGCTAGCTGAAAATTTATGCCACCACGGCTAACTCGTTCACAGAATTGCACAAAATTGTATTTTAAAATACATGCAGGCAAGCAATATACTTGGCAAACATATCTGAAGGTAAAATATTCGAACAGCACGCTAGTTGGCTGCACTTTCATCCTTGCATTTAAAGCAAATATAGCACTTCACAAAGATACACTTGCAGTAACTGGCACATGCCACAGCTTGCTTGGCCATTAATCGCTTTCATGCGACATCTCCCCATTCCCACACAGATTAAAGGCCAAGAATACAAATTATCACACAACTCAAATGTTTTGACTTCATATGCTGAACTATGAAAAGTAGCTTTTGCTGTAATATGCTACAAAGGGTGCAATAATGCATGCAGAGTTTGTATTGGCACCTGCTAATCACTGCATCATTCACTGTCCAGCAATGAAAAAATTTAATGTTCATCTGTTTCCCTAATAATATCTGCTATGTAAAAATCAGCAGACTTTAATTGAGAGATTATGGGCACGAGTATACTAGGCAAAAATGATTGAGACTACTCCCCACCATCACACAAGACTCATGCAATAACTGTATTTAGTTACTCTCTGAGGTAAAATGTGGGAACAGTAGAGTGATTCGCATTATACAGTCGAGCCCGCTTATAACGAACCTGAGCCTGACGCAGCATCCGTTCGCTGTATCCCGAAGTTCGTAGTAAATGAAACACAGCTTTTAAAAAAAGTTGCGAGTGAAAAAAAAGTTTTTTTGCCCCAAAAAGTCCGTTATCAACATGTTTCGAAGAGCAGAAACAATAAGGGCGATCTCAAGTTGATTTAAAACGGCAGGCTGCTCGTTCGCCGAGGCCCGTGGCATAAGCTGCATGAGGCGCTGGCTCTAAAGCTTCGTCCTCGCAATCCGATTCCTACAAATCGCTCTTGCCACGTACTTCATTCATAATGCCCCAATCCGTGCATGGTTCTGCAGTGTCGTCCTCATCATCGGCCGTAATTAAATCATCGCAACAGATGCCCTACCCGCTCTCCCAGGTCGGAGTCGACGACGCGCTGCCACAAATCACCGCTGTAGTGGTCCTGTTCGGAAGCTTCAGGCTCAGCATCGGGCCCGATGATCGATGAAGTCGGCTTCGCGAAAATAGTTTCGCTCACATGTAGCTGTCACCGCCACCCACGAAATATTCACCATCTCCACACCTGAATACCGGGACGCGCGAAGCGGCAAGTTGGCTGCCAGGTGGTCAACAGCTATGAGCAAGCGTTCCGCAACGCGACACACGCGGATTACGCTCAAACCAAGCGGTCAGTTTAGACTTTTCTTTGAACAGCACGAAAAAGCGTGCCAGTCCTCCCGTCGGCCATCAAGACCACACGCACACAAAGAGTGAGCAAGACGCGCACATGCGTGGAACAGCTCTGGGCGCGCGTCGCGGAGCGGTGGAGACGGGCGAAGGGGTTCTGATCAAGAGAGGAGAGCAGGCTTGAGAGAGAAGGGCAAGGAGTTGCGATAAAGCACGGAGGAATGAAAGATTCCTTCCTCAGTGCGATAAAAAGAGGGGAGGATGCGGCGGGAGGGCAACCTTGATAACCAAAACACAAGGGAAGGTGGGTTGCTTGCTTGAAAGGTCCGCGAAACTCATGTAGAAAAACTTGAGAGTGTCAGCGCGCACAGAAGTCAAAGCATGGCCGCCTCGTTCGGTGCGCGCGGCGGCGTTCGAAGAATCAGCGGCAGTGATCAAGAAATCGTTTTGTTGCGGCGACGGGTTGGCGTGGCCTCACGAACGTTCAGCGCAAATTAACAGCCGTTTTCGCGCTTTCGCACACGCGCGGAAGGCATGCCGAGTCGAGTGCGAAGTGAGCGAGAACAAGTCCTAAACACGAAATGAATCTCAAATTATCAGAGTCGGTGGGGTAGCGTACGCGCATACACTAGACGCAGACTATCTGATACAGTCGGTGGCAGACGATGTTAGCAAATAATCTGGTCACTCCAGGCCGGTGACTCCAACGACAGTACCAGCGATCAAAAACAGGGTACGTGGCCGACCGGTCTTTGAAAGATCGGTGGCAGTGTGAAAACACGGGCCTTGTCTGGTGATGCAGGGTGCTCAGAGTAGCTGGGGGACAAAGGACGGAGGGGTGCATAACAAAAAGTGGTCGTGGAGAGCAGCAACTAGAGGGGCGCGGAGGCAGAATCTGCATTTAACAATAAGAATGTATGGGCACCTCGCCGATGCCTGATCGGTGGTCGAAACCGATTTCCCGGGAAGTCTGCAGACCGCTGACTGTTCGCTGTAACAGATCAGCGGCTCTCGAAGACGTTCGTTGTAAGTGCGATTTCGTGCCATTGAACCAATGTATATTTTGATCGTCACGCCGATATTGTTCATTTTAAGCGAAAGTTCGTCTTGAGTGAGGCCGTTGTATGTGGCCTTGACTGTATACAGTAGAAAGCCAATACTATGCAGTTTTACATCACTATAGGCCAAAAGATTAATAAGAATTGATAAAAACACTTGTAACTAAGAGGAAAAAAATGAGACCCTAAAATTTGTCTTATTTTCTTCATTTAAATGCCAAAAGCAATGAACCTTACTACACTTAAGTGAAATAAGAGAATTAAAATGTAAATTTTTTTTATGCTGTTTTGAAATAGCCCTAAATTCTGAGCATAAGACTTAATATGTCATAATTAGAAGTGCAAGTCTGAAGAGAGGTCAGCCCATTTCTATCGACACAAAATTCAAAAGCCCAGTATTTTAAGAACATCTCAAACTGATCTCAAACTGCCAGTCCAAGCAAGCCACGACCATGCGTTTTCATTTTCTGCCATGCCTTTTACTGCCAATATCGTATTGATGTTATAACATTTTACCAAGCGGAAGCCGCTACACATTGACAACTGCGAACACCCAATACTCCACTTCCACCAGCCGGCCCACACCTACCCGTATACCTAATAGCAAGTGCGCACCTTTAGCGGACTGTGAAAGCTTGCACAGCACCACACAAAAGGATCTGTGCAGAAGAGTTCAAGCACACCTTTGAATGCTTAAAGTAGTGACGATTTACACCAGGGGACGGGACGATAGCATACTCGACCATTGCTCAGGCTCATGCAGTTAGTGGACAAGTAGCAACAACTGGCGTGGTCAGTCACGACAAGCCTTGCCCTAGTGGCACAGGCAGGCAGTGGTGGCAGCGGTCAAAGCACCCAAAGGCATGGCAGAAAAGGACTCTAAGCCGTTCGTTACCTGCTTGGCCAAGTGGCAGGCCCTGTCAGGGGCAGTGAGAATTTCATAATAGAACACGGAAAAGTTGAGGGCCAGGCCGAGTCGAATAGGATGCGTGGGCTGCATTTTGCCCTTGGAGATGTCAAAGGCCTCCTGGTAGGCCTTCTGAGACTCCTCTACCACACCTGGTTACAAAAGGGAAGAGAGAAAAAGAAAGATTCAGAGAGACTGCCAGAAATTACCTGCTTTGCCAGCTGGCATGCCTTGTCGGGGGAATTCAGTATTTCGTAGTAGAACACTGAGAAGTTTAGGGCAAGCCCCAACCGGATGGGATGCGTGGGCTGCATTTTGCTCTTGCTGATGTCGAAAGCCTCCTGGTAGGCCTTCTGAGACTCCTCGACGACACCTATGGCACACACACACAGACTTCAGTTACCACACACCTTTGGGCATTGGAAATAAGATATCCAAAGGCAGTCACGCTAATAGAAACCAGCACTGCTCCAAGCTAGGTAGGTAGAATTTAGCTGCAACTAAGCATTCCATTTGAGGAGGTGTCATCAAATCTATTCTCATCTTAAAAAAAAAAAAATAGTCCCACAAAACTGGTTTAAACATTTGTAGTGCACAAAAATTCTGTTACGAAACAAAAAAACACTTTTGTGGCATTCGCAGCAGCCCTCCAAAGCCAGACATTGTCTTCCCCATCGCAAAACAGCTTCGGAGCACACACTACTGTAAATGTTCATTTCGTACGCAACTGCGACCAGTACGTGAGGTGTACTAGTGACGTGGGAATAGTGACTCACTGTTTTTATTACTGTGGCCCATGTTTAAGCGAAGTTATATTGCACCCTGCAGCTGGCTGCATTTTTTTGCGGGCCTGAGGCTTGTGAATGAGTAGCACCAACAAAGATCTGCTGCTGCAGACCTACCCAAAAAGTTCTTACAGGACCATAAACAAGAAAACACCGTAATTTTTGCATAATTTGTGCACTTCTGATAATTAGCCAGCTTTACTTTAAAAAAAAACTCGCACATTTCACACTCCTCAACTCAACAGAGCCAGCACAAGAAATCAAACCGTGGGATACAGAGGACAGGCACGCCAAGCAGGCGAGCGCAGTCCCACATAAAATTACTTGCAAGTGCGTCGCCCCTTCGGATGACTTACTCCGAACTACAGTCCTCAGAATGGCGCACCACAATAGCTAAACCTTGTCTCCCTCTCTTCTGATCTCTTCCACTATGAGAATGCACACTTGCATCACACCACAGACAATTATGCATCAGACTCGCAAAGGCCTGCCGCAGCAACTGCTTTCCTAGCTCTCAATGACCGGACAGCAACACACGCATCGATTTCGAAGTTCAGTTCTCGAGATCTGTTCATTCCGTTTTTCCTGTTTCCTTGCTATCAGGTACAATAATTATATATGCTGCGATTTAGGTTTGCTGAAGGAACCGGGAACCATGTTACCGCCAAGCACTTCAGCATGAAGTCTGAAGTTCAACGTGCGATGATTGGTACAGGAGTGCGCATAATAGTGAATTTTTCATTACAAGACCTAGTTTATCTCAGCATTACTGAGAAAGCAAGAAAATGTGCCATTCTAACATCGTTGACGGAACAGAGAACTCGTTTTGGGAGGCCAGGCGGTGATGGAGGCCACAACTATTTCTAATCAGACCTCTCGACCAGCAATCTTGGACTATACGTGCGACCGGATTGCGACCGGATTTGGCTGGGTAAAGTACCGTATTTACTCGCGTAATCCTTGCACTCGCATAAGTATCTCATATGACCCCCACAAATTTATTTCTTCAGAAGGAAACTGCAGATTCTGTTAAATCAGCCCAATACTGACGTACTACGCTTACCCTTTGAGGGGCTCCTGTTGCGCGACAAATGCTACCGCTACGCCCGCAACACCCACAAGCTTTGCGTATGGTATTCCAATTCTCGACTATTTGCTTGCACTTTTAGTGTCTCAAATAAAACTCGCCTTGTGTTGAACCACTGCTTTTATTGTTGAGGTAAGTTTTATTTAGTAATTCTCAAAGCTTGTTAGTTGCGAGTGTGAGAATCCCGATTTACGACCACTTCATTTTCTTTTTTGCTCTGTACGTTTCTGTGGAAAGTTTTCCCCCATTAATTCTCGCACCCCCCAAGTTTCCATCAGTTTTCCGCCAAAAAATGTGCGAGGATTATGCGAGTAAATACGGTACATACTAATTTCTTCAAATAAGCAAGTACACTTTGTGCTCTAACTTTCTTTAATATGTCATACCGGCGAAGTTAAAAAAATAACATTTCCAGAACGAGGGGGGGGGGAAAGTAAACACATCGGCTTTTAGGTCTTTACGACTGTGATTGAACACATAGCGGAAGGGCTTTCGAACTACAGTATCAGGTGCAAGTCTCAATGAGGGTGCGCAATTATTCTTATAGGGTCATCATATATTTCTGTAAAATAAAAAAAAAATAAAAACTCGAATATGTTCCCGGGACACACGAGAACGGACGAGACAGCACAGCCGGCTGCCGTAGAACGACAAGATTGTTACTATATTCTTTAGACAAGAACGCCAAAACACTTCTAGCCCTCCCCCTTTTTTTTACATCTCTATTGCCTTTAATCTAACCCTGCATTTTCAGCACTCTGCCAGCAGTCATGCATCGAGCACAGTTTTGCGTGCAGCGATTGCAGAAAACTGTAGTTCAGTTTTACATCTGCCAGCGCTGGCTACAGGCGTGCCTTCAAAACCAAATCCTTTCTTGATGCAGAACAACTTTTGCTCTGGTTTATGTTCCACAGTACCTGCGCTCGCAATAACTACGCGTGCGCAACTCCTTTCCTCGCTCCACGTCCCCTTCCTCTCCTCGCAATGCTGACGCAAGCAGCCTTTGCCTGGAGGAGAGGGGCAAGAGAGCGTAAACTAGCATTCCTCACTGCAGTGTAAATGGCCATTCCCTCCGCCCTTGCAATGTTAACACTGGAAGCATCTGCTAGAGTTTCTTGATTAAAAAACCGAGTGCTCCCGCTGCACAATTGTTCACTGGCCACCCGGTATATATAGGCACTGGATCTTGACCTCCAAGGTAGTACTGGAGAGTTTTCCAGCAAGTTGTTGAATAAAAATTCGCAGAGTGCACGTTAATTAAAGGAGGACTGCTTGTCTGTGTCCAATCAGTATTGTCCCTCATTGCTTATTAGAAACGATTGTCATGTTCCAGTAAGAAACATCGGTCCATCACTGCACAATTTGCGTCTCTAGGTTTCTCTCCTGCACAATGCCGCGATGAGGCCCAGTGTCAATGTCGTCACCAATGTAAGCGATAGCGCCCACTGCTTCGCATCTACACATGGTTTTCTTTAGCAGGAGATGGCACAATATTGGGTCAATGTGGCCAGATCAAGCACAGAAATTTCGACTTCCAGGAGATTTTTGCAGACAAGCGTATGAACGTAAGGAATGGTCAAATTCCGGAAGCCTTGGCAGGTATGAAATGTATATACTGCACATGTTAAGACTACATATGCTGTTCCACAGTATTTCGGATACATTCACCTCAGTGCAATTTGTGCGTCCCTCGTTGGAACTCCAATTTTGCGAAAAAGTAAGAAAAATGTACAAAGTATGCGAGTAAACACTGTATCCAGACCTTGAAAAACAAGCTTGCAGACTCAACTCTGTGTAGACTGAGCTTGTCAAGTGGCTGTCCATACCCTTGAATTCACATGATAGAGGGGCATTTGTGTAAGATTATTCTTGAGGTTTAACTCTTTCACTACTGCGGGAAAAGGAGCAGTCATTACTAGATGCAAGAACACTTTTGTGGCTAGATAATAATGCCTTATTTATATTATTTGGTACCAAACTGTAGCTAAAAGAATGGTCTGTACAATAACATAAATGTGGCATATATATTTAGTATACACGTGGAGTAAAAAAAAGTCTAAAATGAAAAATTTCTGCAGTTTCTAGTTTTCTGTTGATTTCTGGTTGTTTCCTTGCTGTTGTGAAACACTATCACTCATATTAATGTGATTCCTTTCTCGACATCAAGCCTGCCTAAGGCAAGTTTGCAACAAAGTTTCAAGCACAGGTGTGGCTCTGTGGTAGAATACTCTGCTGGCAAGTGGAGATCCGGGTTCGAGCCCAGTGGGTACTTGGGTTGTCTATTCGCTTAGTTTTTTCTTATTTTGCTCGACAGTGGTTACAAACAACTACAGCGCATGCTACCCTTGTGATCTACAGCTTTCGCTGCAGATCACAACTTTTGCAATGCTTTCTATCTACATAAGCCCCACATGCAGTTTCCCTGAAGCATGTGCAATTTTTTAGACAGAATGGAGTAAATAAAAAATGGACGCCGTGTGCAATCATCTTTGTTTACGACAAAGGAATAGGCGTCAGCGGTATTACCCGTACCATACCAAAGGCAAGAAGCCAACAAGAAGTTTTCTCAAGATAAGCCACAGAGCTTCCAGCAAGCACGCACCTTATTTCTGATGGAGAAAGCTGCAACATGCAGCAGGTAGAAAATGGGTACTTGCAGCATCAAGGAATCTAGACTTAACAGGCACCTCCGCAACCGCAAAGAGTACACACCTGAAATATTGCACTGCGACTACTGAAATCCATGTGAACTACAATTAAACGGGGAATGACTTCAGCAACATACAAAGAATAGCGGCCAATCTGATTACAGTCTTTACATGGTGTAGCATTTTCTAAGCGGACTGCAAAATGGAACCAGCGAGCCATACGTCTGTTGAGTTTGCTATAAAACAAGAAAAATTTCTTTGGTGCCTTGTTTTTAACCTTGGGATGAATACTCAAAAGCTGAACTTTACCCACTCCACTGAACAACCTGCCTTAGTGGAATGTCAATATATTTGAGCCTCCAGCCAAACGCGCCACTTATCTTAAAAAAGTGCACTAGGGAGTACTCACTGTTCCTCTGCTCGCCGGTGGCAACCTCTGCCAAGTACCTGTAGTAGTCGCCCTTCATTTTCAGGTAGAACACTTTGCTCTCGGCATTACTCGCCTTGGGGATCAGATACTTGTCTAGCAGACCCTGAAACAGGACAGACACCACACCTCACTCAATACTGCGCACAACAGTACACAGATTAAATACTACAGCAGTCTTAGATGTGCACTATGGTAAGAATGTAAACCCGTTGTACAGCTCTGCTGGTTCTTTTTCTGGCTTTACTATAATTGCAGTTAAACCATATGGCTGGTAATTATTTCTCTATCACGTGTAGTAGCATGTATTTAGTTTTGCCTGGACTAGAGAATGTAACAATGTTAACACTAGTTGACATCACATCAAGAGAAATGTTCATGAACATGATACAAGCCCACTCTGCACGCAGCACCACATATCAAGACTTAGCTCCCTAGAGTTATTTTGCACATGAGATGTGGAAAATGGCAGAGTGCCTAGGAGCATTTGAAGGAGCAGAGGAAGTGCAGTTTCTGAGCAGGCTAACATAAAGAATTGCCCTGAAACCAATAAGTCAATAAACATGTTTTTGGTATTAGTTGTGTTGATGTCATTACAGCCACATGAAAGTATTTGTCTCTACAACGTTGAAGTGTCAGAGTACAAAAGCCCGGCAAACTTTTGACAAGAATTTGCGCTGCACTGTACAATCTTGAACCTTGGCAGTGCTAAAGATTATACCAGCAACTGAAAAACCTGCTACAATGCCATTTATTGCACTTAGGGATGGCAGGTACTTTTAAGACTTGTCATTTGTAACAGTTGAGAGGCATGAAGAGAACATAAGGACATTTGATTCTCAAGCATAACAAGCATAGCTGTAACACCTTGGAATTGCTGGCCTTAGTTTAAATGTAGCATACCCAAATTATTATCATGCTCAATAATAATTGAAAACCCATACACTTAAATTCTGATTGTGAGAGCCTCCCTAGAAATTTTAACTGACCCATGAATCTCCATCCAAGATCCATATGAACATCAAATACTACCACATTGAAGAAAAATACAGACTGGCACATGGCACGCAGTTTCGTGAACTGACATCACGCGTAAATACCGACGGCAGGCACACGCGTGCTCTTGAGATGCCGAACATCCACGCAGCATTAAATGCCGCGCACTACTTTGCCCCCATGTCGATTAAGTGCAATCAGGGGGGCTTGTCACAGTAGCCATCATTAGAAGGAGCCGGCAATCAAACCACGCCTCGTTGAGGAGGCCGGGCAGGCGAGGGAGCGGGGCCTAACCGAAAGCCGCCCTTCCCACGTCGAGTCTCGCTTACCCAGAGAGAGAGAGAGACAGGCATAGGCTTTGGCCGCATGCCTTGTTCGGCAAGGCCGGCCACGAAAGGTGCGGCCCGCCGGTGCGGCACACTAACAGAAGGGAGGGAGGGAAGCCCGGCGATGAAAAAGACGGCGGCAGCAGGGTCGCGGCCGCAAGGTGAGAGCCCCGACGGCGCTGGCAGCTACACGGCTGCATCGAGGGGAAGAAGCCCCGGGTCCCGGCGAGAAAAATCGATAAGGCCCGGGACCCTCGACCGGCTCCCGGCGGATCGACCCAAGGTTTCTTCATCCCCGCAGCCGACGGGGAGAGGAGGCCGCCGCTTCCGCGGGAAAGAGCCAGGTTGGCGCGCCTCAGAGGCGAGCGGAGAAGGCGTCACGCCGCGCTCGGCTTCGTCGCCGCGTGACTCTCGGCGCGGCGCGCTCGCCGGCGAGACGGACACCCGACGCGACTACCGCGATCATTGCAGTCACGCGGAGAGGCCGCGCAAGGTGGACAACGCGCCGACGCGACTCGATGCCAGCTCGCGAGAGCCACCCGGCTGCGACTGCAACCTCCGATTTCCGGATGTCCTAAGAAACGCGAGCGTCGCTTCGGCGGTTGCAGTACGCCGGCTAGCCAGAGACGCCGCGCGCGCGCGGTGAGAACGAGCCCCACAGTCCTAGCGACCTTCCCCAAGGTCGGTAACCAAATTCGCGCCCTCGCTGCGCCAGAAAACAGCTTAGTAGACGACACAGAAGAGGAGGCGCCGCAAGTGTTTTGGAAGTGGAAATATCCTATCATTCAACGACTTCTCCGTGCTATGCGAAATGCTCAGCACCCGAATGGTAAATCTCACCAGCCGTTTATCGGTGTATATAGAAATGGCCACCCTCACAAGCTCGCCACATGGGTCGTTTGGCACTGCGATTCCCTCGCTAGCCTTTGCTACAACCCGGGGTCTTGTAGAAACATAACTACGCACAAGTTCGACGCTGGTGTGTCGACGATGCTGCAAGTTCAGCAAGCAGTACGGCTAAGAGGAGCGGGGTCCGTCCAAAGCAAAGCTTGTATTCCTATGGTAGCGTGGCCTTGGAACTTGAACTCAACATTGACGCACCTTGCAAGCCGCTCATCAGCTTCCACCGCACCGGTTTCAAAAGGATTTGTAATCGGTCTTTTCAGCCACACATTGTATCACCACCGCAACACAATCATTTAGTACCCTTAGAAATTCGCCATTTCCGACAACGGAGATGGAACAGTAACGCTACAAAAACATCCAAAACCAAAAGCATCCAACTGTGTAGGAGCACCTGTAAAGTCAGGAAGTGAGCTCAATTCGGCTTTATGTGTCACTAGTTTGATCACAGCACTACCTCCAACGTGAGTAAACACTAGGCAGGCACTAAAGACCTGACCACACGTATCCGTTGCAGCGTGCGGCTATTCTCTTGCTTTTACACTATATTCTTACACCGTATTCTTACACGAGAGAGTGGATGCGCAGCTTCGTGTACCCACGCGCCCTCTTCGCAGGGAGAAGGCACGACGCCGCGCGAAAAAGCCAGGCGCTGACGCATTGTAACGAATACGTGTGGAGAGGCCTTGAAGGGGAACTCCGGTGCATTTTCAACCATACTAAGATAATGCTGTTTTCTAAATAGTATTGAGTCATGAAAAAGCTAGGGTCGTTCATTTTGCGCAGGCACTCGCCAATAATTTCAATTTTTAAAAAACGACGAGTCAAAACAGAAACCAAAACAGGGAACGGCTCTGTTGTCCATGGTGGGTATCCAATGACGTCACGAGATCCGCCACACCCCGCCACGGCTGGCCAGGGTGTAAACATAGCTCAGGTGCCTCGATCTTCTGATGCGCGAAAAGTAAGTTGGCGATGGAATGGAGCTTACAAAACTGAACTGAGCTCGCGTTGTCGTCACCTCATTGAACAAAACGTGCGCTGCATCCGTCTGCTGGGAAAGGCGGTGTTTTTGAAAAAAAAAAAAGAGTGGGTCCGGACGTCATATATACAGGGTGACCCGCGGTCACAAGTGTGTTTCCAAAATCAGCTACAACTTTTAAAACTTGTGTAGATTTGGCACATATCACCACGGTACCAACGCGATTGAAATCTGAATATTAAAAAAAAAACCCCGCTGGAGTTTCCCTTTAACGGCGTCAATTAAACGCGAACAGCGACACGGATTGACCATGATATAGTGAGGGCCGTCCAGACAGGCGCGCAGCATTCGGCTTTGGCAGCGCTGCGCATGATTGGACGGCGACACGACTATGTCATCGCTGAAGCATGCTGTTGTGCGGCTTTTGACACGTACGCGTTGCCGCCCGCCAGCGCGTGGCTATCTCGACGCGGCCCTGCACCCTCTCCAAAAGTAGAGCTGCCGCATGGCTGCGCGCTCTCACTAGCAGGGACAAGAAGCAGCGCATAAAGGCACGCGCGGACGGGCTGCAACGTGTGCTCAGGCTTGTACATAGCAGCCGATGTCATTCCGGGAAATCTTACGAGCACACGCGGCCCGAAATGTCTAGAAAATTGTACTGGAATAATGTGCGTGCGGGTGGAAAACATGCTCGCAAATTATCGCCTTTACAATAGACCACCGTGAGCTAGCGGGTAATTGATGGCTGCTGGTTCGGCCGCATTGTCACGCCCTGTAAAGAGCAGCAGCCACATCGAATCGGCCAGCACAGCGCAATCGAGCTTTTTTTCTCGCCCAGCAGCCGAAGAAGACGCCCACGTCGCGGCGTCAGCCGCCCCCGAGGAAGGCTTCCCTCGGCGAGAGGGCCGAACACAAATCGATAAGCGGGTGCGCTCAATGATCGGGCCCAACCAGCCACGTGTGTACACACATTCGATCAACGCCGACGACAAGCTGATGGATGCTGCTGCAGGACGGACACTCGCCGAGCGACTGCCCCCAAGTCACTCGCGGCACTCATCCGACGCCCGAGCGAAAAAATACACGAATACCCGACCAGAACAGCATACTGAGCGGGGCGTTGTCTAAAGAACTACCGCGGTCAGGAGAATAGTGCGAGTTACACCTGCGCCGAGCTTTTCCGATTTGTCGCACGCCATCACACCTTGCAACGTCATATAAGGGAGTTTTAGCTTGTACGTATACATAGTGTTCATGTGATGTCACTTCCGCGGTTGTCGCCCTCTGCCGCCATGCCCGGGTACCTACGGCAGTTCGCGTGCTGCAGCGCGGTTTCTTGGGGGCTCGTCATCTGTTCCTGTGTAGGATGTTGAAAGGGAAGCATAGTGGTTTTTTGTTGTCGTGCTTTAACGAGCTCATCGGATCAGGAAGGCCTCGTTTGTTCACTCGATACAAGGCCAGGAAATCAGCCACCGCGTACACCGGCTGCCCACCACGACCTACGAGGGCCCAGTATCCCGCTTTCACTACAAATACTACAAATTGCATGGCGCAAAAACAAGTGAAAGACCTAAGTCTCTCGAGCAAGAATTTTAGGAGTGGATGAGCGAAGCGCAGCAGCTCCCATCGAAAACTAATCGTGCAGAGCTAGGCAAGTTTACAAGAGGTATAATATTGATGCGGCCCACCACGCCATTAAAGTAGCAGCGCCCCCCCCCCCCCCCTTCTTGAAGTATTTTAAACAGTGCTGATGTTGAGCTTCTTTGAAATTTGTGGAAACAGCCGAGGAAAATATTACGCGAGGCCGATAGGTAATGCCGGTTGATTGATTGATATGTGAGGTTTAACGTCCCAAAACCACCATATGATTATGAGAGACGCCGTAGTGAAGGGCTCCGG